CCCCCCGTTCAATGTTGTGTGTGGAAATACCTGCGCAAAATGTTCCTTGCCAGTGACCCAACATTGTTTAGGGTGGGGGAGGGAGGGATAGTGTTATTAAGCTGAACAGTATTTGGAAATGCGCAGATATGTCTATATTATATCAGTGTCCAAAAACCTTTTGTCACTGATTGTATTCTAGGCAGTTGGCAAGATATTGTATCATATTAAATATCAAGTTTTTGTACATGTTCAGCCTTGATTGAAAAGTTTAAATTGACCAGGAAATTGAACAAGTATTTACCCATTATATGACTGGTCGGCTGATAATAAAGTTATTTCAGATAAATGTGATATAGGTATAAATTCGGACACGTATAAATGGCTTGAAATGTAGGGTTGGAACGGAAACGTTTGTACTGTGTCCAATAAAGTGTTCAAATTGAAGTGTGTAGTAAAGGAAATGAGCAGGAAAAATATACTTATTGTTATGTAGGTGTGCTAACATAATTTTGTAGGGTGTGTTCATCAGAGAAAGTATATAAAGAATCAATAAGTTTATGTTCACATTAAACTAAGTTGCAGAGTTGTCTGCTATACAACAGGATATCCCTGATTCGTCTCCACTGCAACGGTCAGTATTTCTAATTACTTTTAGTCAATGCGATGCTTCTGGTTTAACGAAGCCAGACTTTGCCAAAGTTATAGTCAATGCCTGGAAATCATGTTACAGATCGAAAGTTCTACAATGGGTATTGAGCGAAGAGCAACATCAAAATGGCGGTCGTCATTTCCATATGGCCATAAAACTGAACACAAAATCACGCTGGCAAAAATCAGATGCGCCAAAGATATTGTTCTCGAGAGGGACACGCCATTCTTTGCAACGAGTGACGCCCCACTTATTTTAATTAACAATGCATCTATTAATCGAGTGAACACAGAAATGATGAATGTAAGATGGCGAATGTTTCCGCTTCACAGACAAATTCCGCGTGATGAACAAAGAAACATTGCGGCTTGCGCTCGATGCTTTGCTGAGTTAATATTATACGCTGAACAGTGATCTATAATGATGTATTTTAATTTAACGTAGGCTACATTAAGGTTTTAACAAATATGTATTCTGGTCATCCCTAACTAAGTGGCTTATGACGCATCGACGAAACCCACACGAATCCCAGTCACATTTTATGTAGAAAAGGGAATTAAGTTCAACAATTCTTGCTGTTTTTATCTCTTAGCTTATCGTAAATATGTCAAAGGAATTGATTATGTGGCCAGTAACTTCTAGCGAAATCAATTTGATTCCATGAAATTCCGACTTTCGTCGAACGATTCCCACTATTTATATATAGTAAGTTGAAATATGACATCATAATTAGTAAATAGAAAAGTGGGATTCGTCGACGTTTAACCCATTTTCTTTGTCTTTTATAACGAAACGCACGCGTATTTGAAGACAAAGTATTAATGTATTCCTTACGCACGCAACTGTGTGTTTAAATTCCCAACAACGATCATATATATGTGAGAAAATATGGAAATTATTAAGCGAACATGTGTGGGATTCGTTGATACGGAAATACGATGTGCAATCCGTTGTCATAGTAACTTTGTCAGTATTTTGTTCTAAAGCCGTCAGCCTGCAATACAGCGTGTATTCGCTTAGGTATGCTTGTGATAATATTATTTACATAATCTACAGACACATTATATAAAGTTTTTATAACTCTAGTCTTAAATTCTTCCCATGTCTCACGCACAATCTGTGAGTCTCTAACTTGAGCATCAAGCTGCTTCTTAACTATGTGAAACATGTTTTCTATTGGATTTAAGTCCGGAGATCTCGCTGGGATACAAAATAACTCACATCCCTCTTCTTTTATAGCTGTCTTAGCTGCTAGGCTTCGCTGAGACGGGTCGTTGTCCATTATGAACCATTTCCTTCCACGCTTGCGCGATTATAGTAGTGCTGGGATTTTTTTTACGAACTCAGCGAAATAGGTACCGGTCATTTTCTCATATTCTTCTACCAATACAACCCCATTGTTGTGAGAAATTGCGACCAGTAAGTGAAGCCGTTTTCCACCCGCAAGGGTTTTAGATCCTTTTGCCGTCAAACGTCAATTGTGGAATGGCCTCCCAGATAGACTAAGAAATAAATGTTCTCTTAGTCAATTTAACTTGGGTGTGCGGCACCTGGCCAGTTAGATAATGAGTTTATGAAATTTGATTTATTTGACCATAGTAGAGTAATTATAATTGTATAATTGTATTGTAATGTGTTAGTCTTGTATATATATATATTTATCCTAATTGAGTGTAACGTTTGTATTTTTAAACCTACGCCCCTCTTGGAAATCAGCTCTTGCTGTAGGGGTTAGCGTAGACAAATAAAGTTTTTACTTACTTACTTTACTAAACCCTCGCTCTTTCTTCTCCATACACGCCCTCTAGGGGGCTAAAGCGTCACTAAGAGGCTGTGTCTTATAAACAAAAGAAACCCCGTCTAAATAGAAGGAAATATTTCGCGAGAAGTATCCGGGCTTTGTGGAAAGGATCTTCTTGCATTGTTGCGCAAACGACTTTCTTTTCGTGCGATCACGGCTTGTTAAAACCCCCTTCTTACGCGCAGGTAGATAATCAAATCCAGCTGCTTTCACCTCGCGATAAAATGTCCGATATGAAATATCACGTGACAGCAGTCCGCTGTGCGCAACCAAGCGCTTAACAGTAAAATTTGGGTCTGTATCACGCAGAGTTTTTATTGTTCTTATTAATTTTCTCCGATCTCTATCTGACAGCTTCTTTGGTCTACCAATTTTCTTGCATGTTTTAAAATCTTGCTTGCGCTGAACTTTTCCTCTCAGAATAAGAGAGACTGACGCTTTAGATATTCTTGCTTTTTTAGCAATCGCTCTGCAGGAATATCGTTTCTCTTTACCACGAAATAGCACATACGCTCGCGTTGTATCTGAAATAGTTTTTTTATATGCCATTATTACTTTGTTTCTATATAACTAGCTCTTATTTATAGCATGCATACTGTGCACTTTATAATACTACAGCTTTGCGATTAATCCGGATGTTACCGATGACGTTACATTCTCCACAAAAGTAACGTAATAAGCACTTAAAGATAATTGCATTTGCTTCCGATTGCTCTATTAGTTTCGCTTGCAGTTCCAAACTACGAAATTCCCAATGTTGGACTGGTTCTGGAAACGTGCATGAACGCATTATGATTAAACTAGAATAATAACATACAATGTATGTGCAAATTAACCATGTTTACGCTCACCAAAACACGGTATCTATTATATTTGTAAACACCATTGGTAATACTAGCTTCTAAAACTGAAATTTTAATTTGGCTTAAAATACCGTTTCGGACAATCAGTGACAAAACACTTTGGACAAAATAGCAAAAGAGCATACATTTACTAAACAATCGACCCCCGCACCCCCCGTTCAATGTTGTGTGTGGAAATACCTGCGCAAAATGTTCCTTGCCAGCCACCCAACATTGTTTAGGGTGGGGGAGGGAGGGATAGTGGCTTTATGCTGAACAGTATTTGGAAATGCGGAGATATGTATATATTATACCACTGTCCAAAAACCTTTTGTCACTGATTGTAGGAAGGGTGCAATACCAGGCCAAATTGCAAAAAAATTTACCGATTCCTCCAAATTTAAAATCATATTTTTTTGCTCCCAAGACACATAGGAAACAGAATTTAACAATAAATTTTGTTGAAAAATTGCCCCTTTGCATCTAATTTCGCTTTGAGATGTGTGTGTTTACTGCTTTTGTATGAAGCAAGAGTTTGAAAACATTCGAAGTACTGTAAAATGTAATGAAATCTGATCGAACCTGACCTTGCCCTTGGCCTTCAGAACTTGTACTGCCTCAGCACTGAAATGTTTTTTACCAGTCTTTCTTGAATATTTTCCTTGTTTAACTAGTAGAACCGAACGTACAAGTGCATCAGAAGACTAAGTAAGAATTTTGTGTAGAAATGCTCTGTTTACGAGAAGTTATTTTGCATTCGCAAGCGTCAACAAAACTGCGGCATTTTCATAGGCATAGCAATAGATAAAAGCTTTGAAAATTCAATTGAAAACATTTTAAACCACCTGTATTTGTATAGAATATGTTAGTTGTATTAACATTGAACTTCTTTCTGTTTGAACCCAAATTTGTACCTCTTTTGCATTTGACAAGGCTGTCAAACTCGCGACAATTGCCTTTATACCTCAGGCATGACAGCAGATTTAGCATGTTAAATGTCTTCTTGTTTGTGTCAAGATTATAATATTCTATTGCTGTTCAAACGAGATATTCTATACACTGGAAACGTAGAGTACATTTTACTTTGTCTCAAGCAAAAAATAAAAAAGATTAAACAGGCATTCAAGAATATACAACCACTACGAACATCTCGTAATATTTCTTCGGGCAAATCTTCAAGTTTCAATGGAAATCTTGCGCATGCGCAACAAATTTCCCAGCTGTTCCTTTGGAAGGAAATTTGGAAGGAAATTGGGATGAAATATTGTTATAAGGCGGGAAATGAGAAGGAACTTCTATTTTATCTCATAATTTCTACGAATAAGGCAATTTTCACACAATTTTGTGCAAAAAATGCCTTAAGGGCAGTCCTGGAGCATCTAGGACAGGACCCCAGAAATCCCTATATTGAAATATCAACCCAAACTCATACCCAGGGTATTATTTCTCAGACTCTGCTTAGCTTGGGCAGGAAACACCCTGGGGCTTTCTTGTGTGTGTGTGTGTCCAGGGGGGAGATGCAAGAACCAGTTATGGAATCTCTTTTCGCTGCCACGGTAAGGTAGTGCCCCAATTATTGTTTTTTGTACGCCCGTGCCTAGATGAGCTGATTTTAACCTGCAAAATAAAGAGTTACCTGCTATAAATTAATATTATGTGTTTCAATATTAGAGTTTTGATGTTAATTACCAGGTAAATCTGTCAATTTTGTGCAGCTGACTTAGCAATGGGTTGGGGATTGAAGTCTTCATCAAAGAAACCTCGGTTTTCAAAGAAACAAAAGGTCTATCTGATAGGAAAATTCCAAATTGGTGAAAAACTGGTCAGAAAGCAGATCCTTCCTCCAAGGCTGGTGCAATGCTGACAGCAAGAAATGTAAATGGAGAAAGAATGTTTACAAGTGAAGAATTTTTTAACAAGTTCTCAGGTAATGAGCTTCTTCTCTCGCTTAGCAGGGGGAAAAAAGCCTGTCTGAGGAGGGTAATGATGAAGATGATGAAGACTTTGACGATTTGGAAAACACAGCAATGGAAGCCCACATTGAACTGCTCACCAAAGAATTGGTGCCACAGCACCCAATCATGTATGAGACATACAATTTGTGTGATACCATATTAAGGTCACAGTTAAAGAAATTTAACATATCCCTCCTTAAAGAGATCTGTGATTCTTTGATGATCGACGCCACAGATATATTATCTGCCAAACGAAAACAGCCTTACATTGAAAAAATCGAGGAGTTATACACTGGCTGCACATGTCGCAGGTAATCATGATTTTTGTGCTAGACTTGCACGTCTTTTGAGAGATGATTTGTGTTAGCGCTACAAGATAGGCAAACATATGGCTCGCTGTAACATAATAACATTTTCTTATTAACAGCCCGTCCACTATAATAGTGCAAAGCTACTCTGCTGAAGATCTCTTCTTGACGAGTAAAATCGTTCCAACACGCACTGAAAGATGGGGGCGTCGTGCCCGTGGGTGGGTTAAAGATTTGTCGAAAATTTTGCAATCGGAAAATCGGAAATCTTGCTAAAATTTGAGGTTTGGTAGGAAAGTTTCAGGCATTTTCTTAAAGTTTTCTTAGAGGGTTACACAGAATATCAGTGGAACAAATTAGCAGTTAGCCTCCCCCCCCCCCGCTCTGCCTGTGAACAGTGGCCACCACGCCCCTGCTGAAGGCATAGACAATTTTACTCATCAAGGCCAAGGGAACAAAAACAAGCGTAGAAATCTATAAATTCTTTTAATTCGATTAAAAGCAAAAACTAATCCTGTAAAGCTATGTTTGTGGAGGTATATATCAACATTGTCCAATAATATATAGGTCTAAGTTGTTGAAAACAGAAGGTTTAATTTTTGATAAAAGTTGTGTTTATGCCTAGAAAGTGATATTTAAAGTTTATTAATGTAATAGTAATAATCAGGATATAGTGTGTTTTCACGCGAACCGCTGTGACGTCACTAGAATTTAGCGTCCGCCATATTGGTGGAGTAAAATGCGTCACGTGCGAGGAATTTACTAGTGTTTACTATAGCTGTGCCAAATCTGTTCGAAATATTCCTCAATAAGCCGGCTTTTTTGTAGTTTTAAACAGTTCAAATGACAAATCTAAAACGTAAAGATCTTTCTTTCTGCCGGGTGCCGAAAGTTATTAAAAATCAAGGCGAGGAAATGGAGATTTTGTGAACCAAACGCAGTCGAAGAATCGACGAAGATGGCCATCGGCCATATTAAGTTGGAGTTGCCGGAGAATACAGAAGAAATTATCAAAGAGAAGTTACAGAGAGTAAACGAACCTGGCGAGGTTGTTAAATGTTTATTTGATCCTATGACTATGGACAATATCCAGACAATTTTCCAGAAAACTTGAGAAACACCGGCCATAAGCCCATATTTAACAGACGTTTCAACCACAACAGTTGGCATTCAGACAAGCGAGTGTTATAATTCTATGCTTCAATCCGAGTTTTAATTTCTGGGTAAACCATGCTCTGCTGACTTTTATTGATAGGTAGGTTAATCATTAACGGAACTGTTACACCTATTCCTACTTGATCGTTGACTGTGGCTGTAAATAGCTATATATTCTTCACTCCGTCTGTCTGACTGTTGAATGCTCTGTAGTATGCCGAATAATATGATTATTCTATAGTTCGAGCCAAATTTTCTACGTTGTAGTAAAGTGGCTTCTCGAGCTGGTAGGTTAATCATTAACGGAACTGTTACACCTATTCCTACTTTATCGTTGACTGTGGCTGTAAATAGCTATATGGTCTTTATTCTGTTTGTCTGACTGTTGAATGTTCTGTAGTATGCCGAATAATATGATTATTTTATATTTCCAGCCAAATTTTCTACATCTGAACACTGTAATTTATTAACTATATATACCTAGACTGCCTTGCCATGGGCTTTGAATTTTCTTAAACATACTCAAGCAATCTATAATCGTATTTCTACTATTTACTAGCTCATTTGCGGAGTTAGACCTATACGTTTATATCTTGTTTATAGCTCCTAGTGCAATCATAAGAAGCACTATATCTTTATTTATACTAGTTTGAGCACAATTTTTATATACAATATCCGAGACAAGCGGTATACCCTTATTTTCCTGTTCTATTAGTATGAGTGAAAGGTGTTCTGTTTGTAATTTTACTTTTAAAAACAACTCTAGGAAAATTGCATGTGCAATTTGTCAATCTATGATTCACTTAAAGTGTACAAGATTTAATACTCAGGATTATAAATTGATTTCCTGTGATAATTCATGGTCTTGTGAGTCATGTTTATCCGAATTATTTCCTTTTAATCATATTATTGATGATGATGCTTTCCACTTTACCCTTCAAAATGCCTTCCATAACTCTGATATTAATCTAGATTATGATCGTCTTAACTCTAATTATTTCAATCCATTTCTTAGTGATTCCGATACGCGACATTTACTTAATAATTCTGATATTGATCCCAATTCAAATATTTTTCTGTTACACTCTCAAATACTGTCTAGCTGTGCCTATTATACCACTAGGGAATTTAATAATTTATTCACAAAAAAAACAAATTGTTTTTCCACACTCCACATGAATATTAGAAGTCTCAAAA